ATAATAAGCAATCACTGTGTGGTAAATTTAGTATTGCTTAATTTAAAATGCTTGACGTCAATGTTAAAATAGTTTGAATAGAAAGTTCTCTTATTATTTTGAAAAATGGTAAGTCTGTTGGTTTCAAAATCTAGTATTCAGCCTTAATTGGATCCAGTTGTAGCCCTTCCTTTTTGCCGCCCTAATTCTACAAGGAGCCACTTGAACAGACTATAAGCCCAGACTCCTCCAACCAGAGTGTAGGGCAACAGCACAGGCTGCCCTGTCCTCCCACCTTCCAACTCAAGTTTAATTTCTTGTGGCACCTTGCTACATTATGAAAATCAAATAGTGATACTGCTTTAACATGGTCTGTCTGTGTGTGTGTGTGTGTGTGTGTGTATAATAAAACCTAAAAATAATCACTTGATAATAATGTCCAATGAAGATTAAATTGATACATTAGAAGGTAACAGTTTCTCTTAAGCTCATTATGCAGATATTCATTTTATTATTATTTAAACTGCACATACTTTATGATACTTTTATTGTGCAGACTACTTTACAAAACTCAAAAAGGTAATAAGTCAAAACAAAAAAAGGAACATGGTATAATACTGGGTGGTTCGGAAGTCTGGCTCCTCTGACCGCATGTTGGCCTTGGCCAGTGGCAGCAAGGTGGCAGTGTTGGCCATGCCCTTTACTGCCTATTTTACACCTAAGGACAAGCTCTGGGAGTGCAGGGCTGGCATCCAGGCCTTTGAACCCTAATGGGCAGGCACCTTTCCAACAGCACTCCTCAGGCACACACCTTCACTACGTTTTTAAAAACATTCTGAAGTAAATCAACAAAAAAGGTTAAAAATCACTTTGTAGGAATATTTAGAAACTACTTATTACATAACTGCAGTTTGATTTCTATTCAAAACAATAATCCAGAAAATGCATATGATAATTTTTTAATTCTCATGAAACACCTGGACCTTGAGAAAAATGGTGTAAATGGATACACAGATTTAGAAATATTTCCAAGGGCACTTCAAGAAATGAACACAAAACCAACAGAGAATTCCAATAATGCTGTTTTTTTCCCTATTCTGTTTAACTTACATTTAAAGCCCTGATGGTGGATCAAAATACTTCATTTTGCACATATTAAATGCCAGTGTATTAGACACTGGAACCACAGATCTCACCATGATCTTTTCCTTCAGAGAGCTGACAGAGACTAACATGGGATTAAGCAAAATGCAGAAGTAATCAATTCTACCTTGGAAGGAATCAGGAAGGATTTCAGACAGAAGATAATTCCTCTTAGATTTCTTCTTCAGAATGATTCAAGTCACTTTCCTAATTGAGACTTAATATACCTTTAATTTATTTATCAAAGAGCCAATAATGTTTCTAACCTCAAATGCCCACTCTTACCAAAAACTAACATTTCCAAACAATTATATTTTGTAACAGCAAAGAACAGCACTGTACAAAACAACAACAACAACAAAAAGCATTGCTTTGCCTGTCCTCTAAAAAGCTGAACTTTTTAGAGGACACAGTTTTTGTCAGTGAATGTGTTTTCAGAATCAATGGTTGACATGTCATCAGGAGTTCTCTTACTGCCCTTTTGAATATTTCACATATCCAAACACTAAATCTGAGTTCTACTGCACCTCATCTCTTCTCAGGGCACAAGAGACTGAAAGATTCAGATTGCTTCTCTCAATAGAAGCAGAGGTTTAGGCAGTGCTCTTTATCTGGAATGTGATTTCCACCCTCCAGAAATTGTTCACTGCTCCTCTGCAGTCTCAGTGGCTGCCTCTGCATCACAACATTTGGACTGATCTGTATGAAGAAAATGAGCCATTGCCTTTATTAAAGCACATAAATTCTACTTCATCATTAACTTTTAAAGAAGAAAAAATAAAGTATAACTTTCTTTAATGCCAGCACAACATTCACCTTAAAAGCAAAACAACCCAGTGGCTTGGGAGGCTGAGGCAGAAGGATCACGAGTTCAAGGGCAATGTCAGCAACTTAACAAGGCTCTAAGCAACTCAGTGTGACCCTGTCTCTAAATAAAATACAAAAAAGGGGGCTAAGGATGTGGCTCAGTAGTTAAGTGTCCCTGGGTTCAATCCTGAGACCCCCCCAAAAAAAGAAAAAAAACATGTAAAGAGCTGTAGAAAATAGTTCCGGAGTGTCCAATACCACTGATCAGCAGGACTGTCTCCATCTACTTTCACCCCTGCTTCTTTCTTCTTCTCTGTCTGCAATGTAAGGGGTTCCCTTCTCCTAGGAAAACTCTGGAAGATAGAGCCAATTCCCATTCATCTGAGGTAATTTAGATATCACTTTGGATAGGAGAAAGACCACAAAATAATCTTGCAACTACCATCCACTGCAGTACTGCAGACAGTGCTGCATCAAGCTTTCCCGCAGCTCAGTCTACTGAGCTACCTACAGAACAAGCAAAGAAGTAATTTTCTATTTGCTTCAGCCAGGACATCCATACAGAAGTGTAGATGGACATGCATGAACCRCTACTGATCATCAACAAAGAGAAATTTATTGGCAGTTCTGAAGAAGTCCTACACATTCTCATAAGTGATTAGATTTCATAACATACCTAATATAAARCTATAAATATAATAATCAATTTGGAAGCTCAGAAAATGCAATCAGAGATTTCTGATCAAGGAGTATGGCCAAAAAAGCTAATACTTATTCATCACTAACCACACTAGAAAGGAAACTGTCTTTGGGATGAGAGTACAGTTGCTTCTCCAGGGACCAAGGTGACTATATCCTTACCAACCCAGAACACCTTGAGAAGAGATCCATAATTACTCTTGCAAATTTATAAAACTTATACCTTGACTGATCACTATGCACTGTGATACAAAATGTATATATAAGTATAATTAAAACATGAACTCTAATCACCTTAAGCTCACAAAATAAGAAAATATATAAAATAACATGAAGATAAGATCAACAAAGGAGGCATCTGCAAAGTGGAAGCTGGCAATCTCAGCTGGAATAATGCTCAGCCAGTGATAGGACAGACAGCCAAGAAGGCATCCAAACATGTAAGCAACCTGACAGTCAAATATGAGGGTGGCAACAGTTGCCCTAGACAGAGAAACAACCTGTGTGAAGGCACAGGGGTGAGGTCAGCACAGCACAGCAGTGGACAGACCTCAGGCAGGCAGTGTAAAGAGAGGAGCTAGAATAAGGCTCAGGTTGTGAAAGTCCACCAGAACCCAGATTCCTGATTAGGAATGCACTAGAGGAACAGGAGAGCTAACCAGCCTACCTCTTCACTCTGGACTTGTGCTTTCACCTCAAAAATGAGTATCTGTGACTTTATTCCCCTAACTTTCAAAGGGAAACACAACCATCTCACCTAAAAAGGAAAGTCACAATAGCAACAAAGTAGCCTAGCTTCTTGTCACAAAAGACTCCAGAGTCAGAAAATACACAGCACAATGGAGAGAGAGAGAGAGAGAGAGAGAGAGAGAGAGAGAGAAACCTCAGACTCATGAGAATTAGTATTAAAATACATTTTAAAATACATTTAATTTTCTATGAGCAAAAAGTTAACAGAATGTTACAATAATATTTCATTTGGCTGGAAGAAATGTGCAATTAATAGTTTGGTTCTGAATCAAATCTCATAATGATTTAAAATCAAACTACACAAACAACTTTGAAGGCAGGAAAATCTAGACTTGATTTCAAACACTATTTTTCATTTAAAGGCAATCGAGAGTCCAGATCTGGAATTAATGTACAATAGATACAATACTTGTCATTTACAAACTGATGTACATTTCAAACCCCTTTTCAGTCATTATTTGACTCCTCTAGTGAGTTTCTTATGGAGGYACCACTTCTTGATGAGAGAGACAAACACCATGCACATCAGGGCTCGGGCAGCCTTCCCTTCTGAACAGAGCATTGTCTATGCCAAGCTATGGAATGTGTGAGGTTGACAGGAGCTCTGAGCAGGCTAGTACAGTCACATCAGGACCTGTTCTATACAGGCCTCTAAGTGGCTTCTGCCCAGGCCAAACCAAAAATACAGCTCCACACACTACCACCTTCAGAGCAGCCCTGGTGGCACTGAGGGTACATACTACTGTGAGAGGCCAAGAATTTGGACTGAGCTCCCACACRAGCCCAGCAGACAAAAACAACTCAGAGGTAATTACAATACTGAGCGCTGGGGCTGCAGGAGGCTTGCAGATGATGAACTAAGCTACGACCAATTGGCCTTCTGTCTTCCACAAATGCTGAGGGATTGTGCTGGTGGAGTTCTAAGATCAGCTCTGGTTCTGGGGGAGTCTGGTTCACAAATGTATTTTGTGTTGCTTTTTTTTTTTTCACTTCACACTGATTTGTTTTTCTTTGCTCAGAAAACTCTACTCGACATAATCAATGGCCTAAGGAATTCCTTCTGTCATGAAGGAAGTTCTATAGAGAACTTAGTTTCCCTATCTGAAACCCAGCTTTACCTACTTCAGGGAGACAAAACATGGTACAAGGACAGCATTGACTTGTTACAAGAGAAACCTCACTGTCAGGGTCACCAAAGAAGAAAACAGGTGCTAGACTGATACTGGAAGGGCAAGGCCCAAAACTGCAGGAAGAAGTTCCATTCCTACATTAGATGAAGTTAGACTCACTACTAGATGCCCAACAAACACCTAAAAATTCTTAGAAGCACTAGGAGTGATTTATRTCTAGTCAGCTTGCTCCTAAATCTGTGAGTTACAAAACTTAAGGTGCCTCTCTTTCTGCACTCATTTCTATAACACTGGAGGGTGAGCTGTGCAGAAAGTATGGAAGACTGAGGAGAGCCTGCCCCAACTCTCTGCCTTTACCACCTCCTTCTCATTTTCCTTATAGGCCTTGTTTCTTTTTTAATCTGGACAACTTTGTGTACTACCTTAAATCTTTTCTGAAACAAGGAATACTTAAATTAGCTAAACAAACAAATTTTTAAAAGAAAATAGTACCTTTATATCAAAATTACAATCAAGTCTTCTAATTAGCACGATGAAAGCGCCAGATGAATTGTCCTTTAGTGGTGGAGGTGCTATGGGCTCACAAGCATTCTCTGGTTTTGAGTTGATCAGAAAACCCTGAAAGAGAATTGCAACAGAGTCATCTTTCTTGTCCCACTCAAGGATGCAAGCACTCACCTCTGCAGACTCCACTGCTTATGGGCCTGCTCTGCACAGGGTGGATATTACTGGCAGTTATGACTGCTCCCAGTCCCAGAACATTTAAAGGAGTATTTGTTTTTGTAAACATGGAGTGTTTTAAAATAAACTGTCTTAGTACGAGAGTTAAAAACAAACAAACAAAAAAAAATTACACATAAGAAAATCACCCAGGGGCTGGGGTTGTGGCTCAGCAGTAGARCGCTCGCCTAGCATGTGCGAGGCCCTGGGTTCAATCCTCAGCACCACATAAATATGAATAAAATAAAGGTATTGTGTCCAACTACAACTAAAAAAATTAAAATATTAAAGAAAAAAAATGAAAATCACCCAGCAACAACCACTATTTTCCAACATATGACATTTCTAAATCAAACAAATCCTTTTTTAAAGTTAGCTTCCAATTTCCATTAATGATATCAAACAAGGAAAATGCACAATAAAATTTCTAGAAACGTATTCTATAGAAACACTAGCCTGAGTCTATAAAGGTATATGTAGGAAGATGTTCATTCCAAATTGTTTTAGTAGAAAAAGCTGGAAATCATGCACATCACAATGCAGCTATCTAAAAAATTATAGTATACTCATCTAATAGAAAAATAATATAGCCATTGAAAACTGAGGAAAATCTATACATAATAAACTGAAAAGATGTCTGCAAGATAATTATGAATTTAAAAAGAAAACAGCAGGTTGCTTTCCTAGAAATGCAGGATGATCTGACATCACAAAATGGAATATAAAATGTTATAAATTAATAGATTAAAATAGAAAAACCAAATGATTATCTCAACAGGTATAAAAATGAGTAAACACATAAAAAGATGATCAAATTCATTAAATTCATTTATAAGAATAAATTAGCAATGACAGCTATGACATGATGACTTAACCCTAGTTCTKCATGGTCAGGGCGCAGTGACCATGCCTGTAATCCAGCGGCTCAGGAGGCTGAGGCTGGAGGATCGTGAGTTCAAAGCCAGCCTCAGTAACTAAGCAAGGCCCGAAGCAACTTAGTGAGACACTGCCTGTAAATAAAATATTTTAATATTTTCAAAAGGGCTGGGGATGTGACTCAGTGGTTAAGAGCCCCTGGTTCAATCCCCAATACCAAAAAAAAAAAAAAAGTTCTACATGGTGTTTGAGCTGATCATATCAACTAATTCTCTGGATTTGTCAATTTCTCCTGCCCTAAGTTGCACTGTTTGGCTTGTCACAGGCAAAGCTTCTGTACATATTTCAGGAACAAAATGCATATGTCAGCCAGGCCAGGTGGCACACACCTGTAATCCCAGCAACTCAAGAGGCTGAGACAAGACGGTCACGAGTTYAAAGCCAGCCTCAGCAATGGCGAGGCACTATGCAACTTAGTGAGACCTTGTCTCTAAATAAAATACAAAATAGGGTTGGGGATGTGGCTCAGTAGTTGAGTGCCCCCAACCCCTGGTACCAAAAAAAAAGCATATGTCCTCCATTTATTCATAGAATAGCTCCTCTTCTTGATCCCATCAAGCACTTGATTTTGCTTCTTCAGGAAACAGAACTGCAGACATCCTTCTAACAATGAATATTTGTTTTACTTTTGTTATACTTATTTTCTGCTTTCTTTTCTGTCTTTCTGCACACACTAACTCAAATTACATAATATAGTAAATCTTTTTCAACATACCTATAATAGCAACTGAACTCAATCTATATATAACTTAGAAGCCATGAAGCCAGATGTGGTACCATGTACCTATAATACCAGATACTCAGGGGGTKGAGGCAGAACCACTTGAGCCCAGGAATTCAAGGCCAGCCTGAGCAACACAGCAAAACCCTTTCCCCCTGACACTGCAAAAAGGAAAAAAAAAAAAAAAAAGGACTATGGCCAAATTTCCCATGGTAGGTGATAATAACACCTTCATAAATGCCACCTAGCAACAGCAAAGTGAAAGATATCCCAGTTTCACAGCTGGTGAACTGTAGGGTACTAAAATGCACCTTAGAACCAGTGAAATAGGATACAGACACATGAGAAGATTCTGAGAGTAGAAATGGAAAAGAATGTTTACTTTTCAATCATTTTGAATCTATTGTTAAATCTATTTTGACAAGCATGTATTATCTTAAAACTAAAGAACATTAATAAAAACAAACACACGAGCTAAAAATTCTGAAAATAATGATTTTACCTTAAATTGACTTAAGTCTTGAAAAAAACAGGTCTTAGAGTATTAAATATTATCTTTCTTATTGATTATACTAAAATAAATAACTTCCTAAAATATTCCTATCCTCCCCTCGGATGTAAGTCATTAAAATCAAGTTTACATTTACTTTCTTTCATCCACAAAGTCTATCAGGCAGCATGAGAAACTTGGCCAATTAGAATATTGCAGCTGTAGCCAGGTGCACATGCTGTGTCACCCAGAGCCAAGCCCCATCATCATCGTTAAGAGGACTTTGCTCTGCAGTAAGAGTCCTTGTCACCTCTAGCATCAGCAGAGCACATTATGCTAATATGTAATCACCCTAAGAAAAATTGTCAGTGCCCAGGAGACTCCATGCCCAGCTTTCTTCTCTTGGCTGCTATGACCCTCTGGTGACACACAGGTGCTGGATGGCAGCAGTGTGTGCATACAAAAAGTGGAATCACAGACTTTGAAACTCGATCACAGGGTACCAATCTTTATAAAAACACTGCCAAGCAGTTWTCCAAAGTGGTTTGGGTTACCAAGTTTTAACTGCAATAGTCAAATAACTTAAACATAAAAATCATACTAACGTAATCTTGTTTTAATGCTTCAGAATATATTTAGTTTAGGGTAAATGTAATGTAAATAATTACTTTTGTTGACAAGTTAAAATGGTTAAGAAGTCATAAAGAGATAAGTCAAGAGATTTTCTAAAAGATGTTTCAGGCTGAACAGAGCCTCTGGATTCAGCACCAGTGAAGATGTTGGGAATGCCAAGAAGGAAACTGGCAGCAGGCCCCTGAGTGTACCTCTTGCAGTAAGAGTGTAAAGCACAAATGGGAGGAGGCAAGAAAGGTGGTAAGGTGTCTGTGGGTACCTGAGAGAGAGCACAGTGACGGCCAATAGCAGGGGGCTGTGGATCACCTCACGCTGGCTGAGTCAGGGCCCTCMGCTCCGTATCAACACCTCGCTCTAGAGTACACCTGTGCAGCAACTATGAGGTGACTGCTACTATCATCCTTCCATGCACAGACAAGGAGACTTCTCAAAACAGTGATGGAATAAGCCAAAGTCTTATAAAGTAGCCATGCAACCTCAGAGCTCAAGCCCCAGACCTACGCTCTTGGCCACTCTGGGACACAGTCTCAAGGCCCTCCCCCACCAAAAAAAGAAAAAGCACACACTGAATGAAGAACAAAATGGGCAACAAGGAATGGCTTTTATAAAGATAAACCAAGAGKTTATGAACCTTGATTCCAAAATTTTATATAAATACTTTAAGTCACAGTGATGTCAGTGGAACCTGTCATATATGTTTTATATTCAAACAGAGACCAAAAAGTTTCAAGTGATCAATCACACTTTGTAATCAGCTGTCTTTCCTAATGTGAGACAAATGAATTTATTTATATCAGCTTTCTGGAATGTTAAAAGTCCCCACTGTCTTTTTACTAATTCTTCATTTATTTTTTAGATCATTCTTCCAAAATCTACMGGTAACTTTCATATATGCAGAACATTTAACTTTTTTTCCCTAGGCAGCTGGAGATCCATTTTTTTCTTATGCATTAAAACGTCCCTTCAGGGCTAGGTGTAYCATTCAGTGGTAGAGCACATGCTTTGAATGCAGGGTTTGATTCCTTAAAGAAAAGGAAAAGATTTAAAAAAAAAAAAATTTACTCAGATAATATTAAATTCCTTTAAATAAACTCCTTTTCTTCTGAACACACTAGTCTCATTTTATGAGGTTAATGGATAAGAAAGAGTTCCTGACCAAGAAATTTAGGTGTTGGAAGCCATGTATAAACTACGAGTTTGTTTGAGCCAACATAAGACAGGCAGGCTACGTTATGGGAACTACTGGGTGAAATCCCCCAGCTCGAGAAAGCCAGAATGTGCTGGTGCCTAGGTTCAAACGCAKATGCCTGGAGATAGGCGTAACCTGCCCCAAACAACATGTTTGCCCCATCTTTACCCTGTCTTCCTCAAGAAGCCTGCCACACTGAAACCTTTTAATGTATTTCCCCTTAAATAAAGGATTGGGGCCTTTTTTCCTTGTTCAGTTCCAGTTCCTAACAGGGCTGGAAGACCCACCAGGCGAGCCACTTTTAAAACTATAATCTGCCTATTGTCTTTTGTTCTTTATTATTTTTCTGATCTTTTTATCTTCCCAGTCAGTTCACACCTCCAAAAAAGAATCTGCTCTACCAGGGTGCTGGTAACACTGGCATTTAAGGGTTAACAGATTATTAGTTTTTAATTATTTTTATTAGATTTTTAAAAAGCACAAACTGCGTGTGATACAACGGCAGAGAATGAGGCAATTCTAACTACAAAGGCAATCATCGAAAAAGTGGCACAGGACTTGTTCCTAACACTTCATATTTCAGTTTGGTAACAAAAACTATTTAAGAGATWATACTCAGTTGATCTGGCCAATGCAAGTGACAGGAACCTCACACTTAAACCTGCTCTAGACGTTCTGTGTCAGTGCATGCATGCATCACAAAACTGACTTCAGTTTCTGGCAAACAATCACAGTTGTTTCAACAAATTTGACCAATGTTTCTACTATGCTACAATTCTCCCATCTTTTAGGACTGAAGGGAAAAACATTAGTGTATTATTTATTCCAAGCTCCATGCCCACTTGCAAATTTGATAGCCATATCTCCCATGTCTTTCTGCACATCACCGAGGAAAGCACTAAATAAGATGGAAATTTGAAGGTATACAA